TTCGGATACAATGTTTTTATTTGGATACAATGTTTTTATTTGGATACAATGTTTTATTCGGATACAATGTTTTATTCGGATACAATGTTTTTATTCGGATACAATGTTTTTATTTGGATACAATGTTTTATTCGGATACAATGTTTTATTCGGGGATACAATGTTTTATTCGGATACAATGTACGTTTTATTTTATTCGGATACAATGTTCGGATACAATTTATTCGGATACAATGTTTTTATTCGGATACAATACAATTTTTATTCGGATACAATGTTTTTATTCGGATACAATGTGTTTTATTTGGATACAATGTTTTTATTCAATGTTTTATTGATACAATGTTTTATTCGGATACGGATACAATGTTTTATTCGGATACAATGTTTTTATTCGGGATATACAATGTTTTTATTCGGATACAATGTTTTTATTCGGATACAATGTGTTTTATTACGGATACAATGTTTTATTCGGATACAATGTTTTTATTCGGATACAATGTTTTATTCGGATACAATGTTTTTTTTACAATGTTTTTATTCGGATACAATGTTTTATTTGGATACAATGTTTTTTTCGGATCGGATACAATGATACAATGTTTTTATTCGGATACAATGTTTTATTCGGATACAATGTTTTATTCGGATACAATGTTTTTTATTCGGATACAATGTTTTTATTCGGATACAATGTTTTTATACAATGTTTTATTCGGATACAATGTTTTATTCGGATACAATGTTTTTATTCGGATACAATGTTTTTATTCGGATACAATGTTTTATTCGGATACAATGTTTTTATTCGGATACAATGTTTTATTTATTCGATACAATGTTTTTATTCGGATACAATGTTTTATTCGGATACAATGTTTTTTATTTGGATACAATCGGTTTTATTCGGATACAATGTTTTATTCGGATACAATTTTTTATTTGGATACAATGTTTTTATTCGGATACAATGTTTTATTCGGATACAATGTTTTATTCGGATACAATGTTTTTATTCGGATACAATGTTTTTATTCGGATACAATTTTTGCAACTGCAAGACTTCTTCACATAAAATATAATAGCAGACTGGACTTCCAGTTCTCCAATCACATCAGAGCATTTCCGCGTGACGTCTTTTCGGTGCCGTTCATTGTCAATGACCCCCCCAAACACGGCGGGCAGACGCCCCCTTTTTCCACGCAGAAAAAATAAAAAGCGCAACATACATGGCAGATCCAAACGCAATGAACGCCTGCCCTACACAAACAATTGCGCATTTACGAGGCGCTAGGTGTGAATGAGACCTAATGAGGATTATTTCCCACAACACACAGTACAGTGGGGGGGAGGGGCCATGGTTGGGTGGAGCTGCATGGTGTGTAATGGCTGGGATGCAGTCACAGAGAGGCTTCCCTGTCTGCATGGAAGTGAATGTTTGATTTCCACATTGTAACCATCTCATTCCTATTTTTAGATCTTCAATGGCGCCTTTGTCTGTGTGTCTGGAGCCTGGCGGGGATTTGGGGAGTCCCGTGAAGCCCCCTAATATCTGGGCCGGGAGGATGAGGGTGAGTCACTGTCTGCCTATGTGGAGCAATGCTGACATTTTTCGGGCTCGTTACGTAAGTCCTCGGCATTCGGCCGGCGTGTTCTGACATGAATAGTAATTAAGTATCTCCAGGACCGGAATCAGACAATTAATGGCGGGGAGCTGGCAGAGATGGCAGAGATGGGGGAGGGAGCGAGCGCTGACACCACCCCCAAATAGAACGGCGAGCTCCGGGGCGAACAACCCAACCGAATTTTACCCAAGATGGCGTTGGTTCATGCGCTATGGATTTCTTGTCATCCCTCTGGGGTCGCTGGTCAGGGTTGGTGCTTGTAGTCCTGCATCTGGGAACACCTCAGCTAGTCCACTCTGGTGTGCCGAGATTTGGGAACCCCTCCGGCCAGTCCACTGGGGTCACCGCTAAGTAGTTTTACTCTTTTACTTGATAATCCCTCGGGGGGCTTGTGGTGGTGTCACCACTCAGTGATTGTCCTCCTGTACTTGGGAACCTCTCAGGGCAGAGCAGTGGTGTCACCGCTCAGTGATTGTCCTCCTATACTTGGGAACCTCTCACGGCAGTGCGGTGGTGTCACCGCTCAGTGGTTGTCCTCCTGTACTTGGGAACCTCTCAGGGCAGTGTTCTGGTGTCACCCTACAGTGGTTGTCCTCCTGTACTTGGGAACCTCTCAGGGCAATGAGGTGGTGTCACCGCTCAGTGGTTGTCCTCCTGTACTTGGGAACCTCTCAGGGCATTGTGGTGGTGTCACCGCTCAGTGGTTGTCCTCCTGTACTTGGGAACCTCTCAGGGCAATGAGGTGGTGTCACCGCTCAGTGGTTGTCCTCCTGTACTTGGGAACCTCTCAGGGCATTGTGGTGGTCACTGCTCAGTGGTTGTCCTCCTGTACTTGGGAACCTCTCAGGGCATTGAGGTGGTGTCACTGCTCAGTGGTTGTCCTCCTGTACTTGGGAACCTCTCAGGGCAGTGAGCAGTGGTGTCACCACTCAGTGGTTGTCCTCCTGTACTTGGGAACCTCTTCAGGGCATTGTGGTGGTGTCACCTCTCAGTGGTTGTCCTCCTGTACTTGGGAACCTCTCAGGGCAGTTGTGGTGGTGTCACCTCTCAGTGATTGTCCTCCTGTACTTGGGAACCTCTCAGGGCAGTGCGGTGGTGTCACCTCTCAGTGATTGTGCTTCTGTACTTGGGAACCTCTCAGGGCATTGTGGTGGTGTCACCGCTCAGTGATTGTTGCCTCTGTACTTGGGAACCTCTCAGGGCAGAGGTGGTGTCACCTCTCAGTGGTTGTCCTCCTGTACTTGGGAACCTCTCAGGGCAGTGAGGTGGTGTCACGCTCAGTGGTTGTGCTTCTGTACTTGGGAACCTCACAGGGCATTGTGGTGGTGTCACCACTCAGTGGTTGTCCTCCTGTACTTGGGAACCACAGGGCTTGTGGTGGTGTCACCACTCAGTGGTTGTCCTCCTGTACTTGGGAACCTCTTGGGGCAATGAGGTGGTGTCACGTTTCAGTGGTTGTCCTCCTGTACTTGGGAACCTCTCAGGGCATTGTGGTGGTGTCACTGCTCAGTGGTTGTCTCCTGTATCTTGCAATTCCCCTCTTCTTCTGAAACATACTCCTCATGGGGGTAGCCTCGTTTTATTCATTCCTTTTAGCATTTTTTTTTTTTTCGCTTTGGTATGTATAGTAATGGGGTGCCACAGGGGCCAGTTTTTGTCTCAGGATCAGGTCCAGGATGGATTAAAGGAGCTTTGGTAACACTTAGGAGCTATTTAAAGCCCATTACACATTAGAGCCTTCAGGGCCAGGTGCAAGAAACCATGAAGGGCACCCCTGACCCCCGGCCAGGGCCCTTCCTCTTGAGCCCAAGGCCCTTCCCTCCAAGCCCAGTGGCAGAACACCAGGGCCAAGAGGCGACCCTTGCAACCCTGGTAGTTCCTCCACCAGTGTCAGCAGTTTTTTATTTTAATTCTTTATTATTTGTTTTACCATTTTATCTCATTTATGTATTTATTTATTTTTACAATATTATTTGTTTCCAATTGTTTTAAGAGTCCTCTTTGGGGGATTTGGTGAGATATCAGGGGTCTAAACAGACCAATTATGTTCCACCTTTGAAACAGAGAAAGGAGATTGAGGACACAGCCCGAGCTGCACAGAATGATTGGACAGGAATAGCTCTGTACACAGCTTCCCGTTCTTTCACAAACTGAAGCATAGCAACACAGTTTACTATGCTTCATTTGTGAATGGACAGAGTCAGTGATTGATACTGATCACTCACTCTGTCCATTCAGACTAGGAAGGGACCAGTAAATTACATGTTTTCTGATCCCTTCCTTGCTCTCCTTCCTGACAGCATTCCCTGCAGTAGCCAGAGGAAGAGGGGAGGAGGAAACCTAGCAGAGCTGGGGGGCAAGGAGGGCCAGGAGAGAGCACATGGGCAGCAGAAAGAAGCTGAATAGAAGGGGAGGTGGGGTGGCATATAGAGGAACTGATCCCTCCATGTCTACGGGAAGGAGAGGAGGAGAAGTGGGTATTCAGCAGCCGCAGGAGGAACATGGAGGGGATCTGTTTCCTGCCACCCCTCCTATCCAGGTATACAGGGAAGCAGCATGGGCTCCATAAAGGATGGGTCCGGGTCACAATTTCAACCCCTGTGACCCCTGTACGTACACTCCTATTTCAGATCCAGTGTCTTCACTGGGTCTCTGTGCTTCTTTATCCAATGTAGGCAGATCATGGCTGGTGGGAGGGGCTTGCAGGTTGTTGTACATAGCTTTTTAAAAACATAACAGCACCCTGCCTCAGTCCTCCTCTCAAGAGCCTTCAGTCCTGATGCAAGCAGTGGGCTGGCTCTTGGGATGAGATATGCCGTGATGGGTGGGTGTCAATTTAGAGGAGTAAGTGTTCCTAGGCAGGCTGTAATTACATGAAGACCCCCCCCCCCCCCCCCCCCCCCCAGGTAACACTCACATGTGATACTGAGCCTCCATGATTGAACTGAAATCCAATGAATGAATGGATGGACTAGATATTACCAGGCTGATTAGGAAAGAGCTAAATGACGCTGGACGTCCTCCAGCCTGGAAATGAGGCGGAGCTCTGTCTGACTGGCTGCAGCTTCTAATGCACATTGTGAGAAGCCCACAGTGTGCAGTGAAATCAGAGGAAGCCATTTCAGTCCAGGAGAGGAGCTGATACAACCATGCAAGACTGAAGGGGAGGAGCCGGTACACACCTGCGCAAGACTGAAGGGGAGGAGCCGGTACACCTGCGCAAGACTGAAGGGGAGGAGCCGGTACACCTGCGCAAGACTGTAGGGGAGGAGCCGGTACAGTTGCGCAAGACTGAAGGGGAGGAGCCGGTACACCTGCGCAAGACTGAAGGGGAGGAGCCGGTACACCTGCGCAAGACTCAAGGAGAGGAGCCGGTACACCTGCGCAAGACTGAAGGGGAGGAGCCGGTACACCTGCGCAAGACTGAAGGGGAGGAGCCGGTACACCTGCGCAAGACTGAAGGAGAGGAGCCGGTACACCTGCGCAAGACTGAAGGGGAGAAGCCGGTACACCTGTGCAAGACTGAAGGGGAGGAAGGTACACCTGTGCAAGACTGAAGGGGAGGAGCCGGTACACCTGCGCAAGACTGAAGGGGAGAAGCCGGTACACCTGCGCAAGACTGAAGGAGAGGAGCCGGTACACCTGCGCAAGACTGAAGGGGAGGAGCCAGTACACCCAGGGGCGGACTGACCATTCAAGCACTGCCCGAGAGCCCGGGGTCAGTAGGGGGCCCCATGAAATGCTTCTGGTACCTTTTTATAGGCTTTTTTGGGTGTGCTTTGAGTTTGGGCAAGGACACAGGGGCCCCATGATCCCCTATTGTCCGGGGGCCCATGAGTTGTCAGTCCGCCCCTGGGTACTCCTATGCAAGACTGAAGGGGAAGCTGCAGGGAGGATCTGAGCATTGTAGAGGGAAGGATTCTCCTAGGATTGATAGTCAGCTCTTTGGTCAAGTAGGGTCTGGGTGTTCCTGGAGGAAAGCACAAAAACCTATGAAATGAATTTAAATGACTCCACTGATGCTTTTACAGCCCCTGTCCAGCAGGTGTCACCATCCCTTCATCCAATGTTACAATGTTTCCCATAAGCAGGAGAATGATGAACTTTGTATCCATTCTATTCTGTCTGTGAAATCGCTGAAACTGCAGAAAAAGAAACGCAGGAACAAATCTGAAGTTGCGCCGCAGTAACCGCACATATTATCACGCTCACATTCAGATTCATTAGATGCGATATCAGGTGAGGTTCCAATTCACAAATCGCACCGGCATGACCGGGAACTTAACATTTGCGATTTGCTGCGGCGCGATTTCTAAAGTTTCTTACATTCCTTTTTTTCTGCGGTTTTGTTGCGATTTCACATACATGGAATGGAAATCACACTGAAAATTGCAAGAAATCGTTGAATATCTTCTCAAGGAGCACTAAAGTCTTCTGAAATGGAACACAAATCGCTTGATTTTGAATCGCAGAGCTGTGACCGGTGACTTAGGCTAGGTTCTGCTGCGAATCCACGCAAAAATCTGTGCAGGCCGCCCCACCCACACAGAGGAATGCGGACCCGAGGGCGGGTGACATTAATTCGAACGGCACGTCGCCCGCACTGGAAATCGCAACCGTACTGGGAACCTCGGCTGCGTTTTCAGAAAAAGTGCCGGGACTTCTTCCCTGCATGTCCCGGGGCACCGGAGTCCGTTCACATGAGTGGGCTCTCGTGCCCACGCAAAACGCGGATATGTGAACCAGGGGTTAAGCTACTCAAGGCTCCAGTCTGGCCTCCAGTGCCTGAAACATGTTAGACCGACAGCACTGTACAATCCAAGAGGTTCTGATCCAAGAGGCTCCCAGGCACCCCCCAACAATCTGAATAAAGGTCTCCTGGCTGTTCAAGGCATCCAGGACACGGGAAACAGATATTACATTCCTGATCTGGTCGCACGCTGACAGCGGACATGAACAGAGTGCTCATTGTTGGTTCTCAGAAAACATATCTGTTTATTGGCCAGCTCCACCTAAAATGCAGCCTCTGCTAGGTAGAATCTCCAGTCGGGTTCTCAGGTCTCCAAGGAGTGGTTAGGGTTCCTCCAATTATCTGGGTATGGCATGTTGACAAAGGGAGAGATCGCATGCTTTGATTGGCTGATGTTACTTGGAGGCGGAGGATGTGGCAGTCGCTGGGCGTACTGACCATTCGAGCACTTGGGCACCACCCTGGTACCTTTTTTATAGGCTTTTTTGAGTGTGGGCAAGGACACAGGGGCCCCATGATCCCCTATTGCCCGGGGGCCCCATGAGTTGTCAGTCCACCCCTGGGCGGTTGCATTAAAGGAGTGCTGATTATTGCATTCCCTGATTCCTCCTTACCCCCTCATCAACCTTTCTTTAAGGAGTGGTTAGGGTTCCCCTTTAGATTTGGGCATGGCACACTGACAGAGGGAGTGAGCGCACACTTCGACTGCATGACGTTACCTGGAGGCAAGGGGCGTGGAGGTCGCATTAAGAGCAGGGGTGGACTGACTGTTCGGGTGCTTGGGCACTGCCCGAGGGCCCGGGGTCAGTAGGGAGCCCCATGAGATGCCCCATATTTTGGGTGTGGTTTGAGTGTAGGCGAGGACACAGGGGCCCCATGAATCCCCCATTGCTCGGGGGGCCCCTTGAGTTGTCAGTCTGCCCCTGATTAAGAGGTGTGCCAAATAATGCCTGCCCTGCTTCCTCCTTAGCTCCCCCCCCCCCCCCCCCCCGCTTTATTTTACACCCAGTGACCTCATCACTGGGTCTGTGTGCTTCTCTATGCAATGCAGGCAGATCATGGCTGGTGGGAGGGGCTGTACATAGCTTCCTGAATACATCACAGCGCCCTGCCTCAGTACTCAAGAAACCTCAGCTCTGATGCAAGCAGTGGGCTGGCTCTTGGGAGGTGCTATGTAAATATCAAAATGCCCTGATGGGTGGGTGTCAGTCTGGAGCAGGGGTGGACTGACCATTCGAGCACTCAGGCACTGCCCGAGGCCCGGGGTCAGTAGGGGGTCCCATGAGATGCCCCTGGTACCTTTTCATTGGCTTTTTCATAGGCTTTTTTGAGTGTGGGCGAGGACACAGGGGCCCCATGATCCCTTTTTGCCCGGGGGCCCCATGAGTTGTCAGTCCGCCCCTGGTCTGGAGGAGTGGCCGTTCCTAGGCAGGCTGTCCTAGGTAACGCCCACATATGATGCTGAACCAGGGCGGACTGACCATTCGAGCACTCGGGCACCGCCGTCAGTAGGGGCCCCATGAGATCCCCCTGGCACCTTTCATTGGCTTTTTCATAGGCTTTTTTGGGTGTGGGCGAGGACACAGGGGCCCCATGATCCCCTTCTGCCCGGGGGCCCCATGAGTTGTCAGTCCGCCCCTGTGCTGAACCCCCATGACTGAAAGAAGTGAAATCCAATGACTGAAGGGGGGCGGGTCAGGGACAGTCAGAGCTAGATGACGCTGGACGTCCTCCAGCCAGGAAATGAGGCGGGGCTCTATCTGACTGTCTGCAGCTTCTAATGCACATTGTGAGGAGCTCACAGTGTGCGGTGACATCACAGGAAGCCGTTTCAGTGCAGGAGCCGGTACACTGTGCAAGACTGAAGGGAAGGCCGGAGTTCCCCTTTAACCCCGTGTACATTGGCGGGAGGAATGTGGGCACCTGGCCGGTGTGTGTGATGATCAGGCAGTCGGTAGCTGGCACTGTGTGCAGGATAACAGTCAGCTCTTTGTTCCCGGCAGATCCTCAGTAAACCGATCCTCAGCCGCCCCCCGGGGGGGCCCTAACGGTGGGTGTTCACAGCCGTAATTGTGTTGGCAAATATCAGAACCAGCAGCGGTGTCACGTTATCGGCCAGAGATAAGCCCGGGGAGGTTTCCTTGTCGCCGTCCAGGTATCTCCATCCGGCCGCGGCGCTTTATCGCAGCTTCTGTTTCTTGTTACCTGGGGAGGAAGTGCGCAAATCTGGAGATAAAAATGAGAAGAAAGGCCCAGCCGCAGTATGACTCCGAAATATCGGCATCTGGTGACTCCGGATAAAACGAGAAATAGCGACTCTGGGAAATAACTACAAATAAAGCCTTTGGGTGGATGAGCACAGCCTGATCACCCTATTCCCTGATGGTCTGGGAACCCCCGTTCTTGCCTGGGAGAGAAATTCACAGACACACCCACTGCTGCTTGCAGCCCCTCCCATAGAGGAAGGCGGTGTCCCACAGCGGCCAATCACACTCAGGCCTGCCTTGGGAACTTTAATTTGATTGGTAAGAAGGTAGAGGGAGAAGCACATTCAGGAAGCAGAAACACCCATGGCCCATGTGAGAAGCTCTCTGGATTCTGCCTGCAGCTGATTGGCCAGAACCAGGGGCGGACTGACCATTTGAGCACTCGGGCACTGCCAGAGGGCCCGGGGTCAGTAGGGGGCCCCAAGAAATGCCCCTGGTACCTTTCATTGGCTTTTTTAGGTGTGGTTTGAGTGTGAGCGAGGACACAGGGGCCCCATGATCCCCTATTGCCCGGGGGCCCCATGAGTTGTCAATCCGCCCCTGGCCAGAACTTAGATGAAGGTCTGCAGCATCATGTTGGATGTCCACCCGTTGGTTTGCCTGAAACATTGGAACAGGACGTGATGACAAATCTATACATTTGAACTGTCTCCAGAACAGGAATACAGAACTTTATTGGACTCCTGTCCTGGTGACAACTGTCTAGGAGGGGAATTCCTTCGCTTTTGACAGATATCCCCCTCACTTCCTGTTTTGTCCATAGGACAGGAAGTGGAAGGAACTCTCCCCAATAAGTGATGACGAATCCAACATTTTGAGTTGCCACCAGAACAGGAATAGAGGGGAAATCTTCCAATATGGATACCTGTTCTGGTGACACCTATCTAAGAGGGGAATTCCCTCACTTTGGAAAGATCTCTCAGTTCCTGTTTGTCCATGGGACAGGAAGTAGAAGGAAATCTCCCCAAATCCAAACTTTTGAGTTGCCACCAGAACAGGGATAAGAGGGGAAATCTTCCAATGAAGAGAGTTGTTCTGGTGATAACTGAGGGGAAATTTTCTCAGTTTGGAAAGAAATCCTCTCACTTCCTCTTATGTCCATAGGATAGGAAGTGGAAGGAAATCTCCCCAATAAGTACTGACAAATCCAAAATTTTGAGTTGTCACCAAAACAGGAAAAAGGGGAAATCTTCCAATATGGATACCTGCTCTGGTGACACCTGTCTAAGAGGGGAATTTCCTCACTTTGGAAAGATCTCCTCTCAAGTCCTGTTTTGTCCATAGGACAGGAAGTGGAAGGAAATCTCCCCAATACGTGATGACAAATCCAAAAATGTTTAGATGTCACCAGATCAGGAATAGAGGGGAAATCTTCCAATGAAGAGAGTTGTTCTGGTGATAACTGAGAGGGAAATTTTCTCAGCTTGAAAAGAAGTCTCTCTCACTTCCTCTTATGTCTATAGGATAGGAAGTGGAGGGAAATCTCCCCGATACGTGATGACAAATCCCAAATTTTGAGCTGTCACATTAACAGGAAAAAGGGGAGCTCTTCCAATAGAGATACCTGCTCTGGTGACACCTGTCTAAGAGGGGAATTCCCTCACTTTGGAAAGATCTCCTCTCAAGTCCTGTTTTGTCCATAGGACA